GTGGGGAGGAAAAGTGGGAGAGAGAGCGGAGGAGTGTTTCCTTAGAATGAGGCTTTTATGTCAGGGCACAGGGTGGTGCCAGGGGTGGGATTTCAAGGGGCGGGTCAGAATATTAACAATGCCTGTCATTCACACCAAATCCCTTATGAGGAGGAGAACATTTGCACTGCAGATGAATCAGTTGGGATTGGGTACTCCACAGTCCTCTATTCTCTGTGATCAAAATGCATCCCAAAAACCCCACATATGGTTGCATGAACAAGACCTGCATAATGACAACACCAGGTTGCATACCAATGTGCACAGGGGAAATTCCACATGGCCCCACCCCTAGATGAAGAGCTATCTGTGGTCAACGTCTGCTCAGAAAAAGGGATGACTACTTTTCTCTATGGATGGGTTCCCACATCAGATGTCCAATCCCAAGTAGTCAGCCCTGGACACATGTACATATGAGCAATGATGAATGGACTCGGTAGGTTGAATATACATGTGTGCATACACACATACATAGACACACAGGCATATGTATATACATGTAACAGTAATAATTAAAAAGAGAACATGAATTTGGGAGGGGAGACAGGTGGAATTTGGGAGGAGGGCAAAACGGAAGTGATATACAGTGCTCATGAAATAAAACTTTTTTTAAAAGAGGAAAAAGAAAACTGGCATTTTACATAACTCTACTGAAGCTATTATTTTAGTCTCCAATTTGCAGATGAGGTGCAGATTATGGGTGTAAATAATTTTTCTTGGGTTGCACTTTGTTTTTTTCAGACAGATGGTTGTAGAACGTGTTATAGAACAGTTCTTACTGGCCCATGGCCAAACATCTAATCTGACAAATGACCAGTTGTTCCTTTCTCAGGAAATCTGTCTCTATGTATAATTCAGCATGGTCTCAGACTTTCAATCCTCCTGCCTCAGCTTCCCAAAAGATGGCATTATATGCATGTGTCACCATGCCTGCTCTCTTGAGTTGCACTTTATAATAAAAGGGTGCCAGGCTTGGATCAGGAACGTCTGGCTCCAAGAGCCATCTTTTGAAAAACTCTACCACAAGAATACAAATGAAAAGCAGACACCAGAAGCTCTTTTCTGGAACAGTTTGGTTCTCAAACGTGGACAGTAGAGCCAGCCGGTGGGCCTGTGAAACTCAGATCTCCGAGTCCACCTGAAGTGTTCCTCTCAGTAGGTCTGGGTTAGGAGCCAGCATCTTGAGTTCCCAGCCAGTTCCCAGGTGCTGCTGATGCAAGGGAGTCCAGATATCACTTTTCCTGGAGCTTGACCTCAATCAATACTCTTTCTTATTTCTGGGTAAGTGCTCTGCAAGGCCAAGTGCACATCATCTACTGGAAATTTTTTAAGTAAATGCACTCATAGCTGGGATATTCTGTCCCAAAGAATCATGCCCTTTGAAGGCAATTCTGGGCATCTCTATTCTCATGAGGCTGCCGTTGACTTCTGCCTGCAGCCCAGTTTAAAAAAAAAAAAACCAGTGGTTTGTAGAATATACCCATGAACACAAATATGCTTTGGGCGGCTGGTACCATGTTTTTGTCTTTGTGATCTCTTTAACAGATTGCCTGGGCTGTGGCCCCACATACTGACTTAAAGCCTATATAATGGGAAGACTGTCTTCTTGGTTACATTTTGTGTGGAAGTCTCCTGGGTTGGCAGAGGGTTTTGTGTTCACCGTTTCCTCGGCAAGGTCACAGAGAACGGAGTCACAAGTGTAGTGCCCCGCTGCTGATGAGGTGCTTCCCCACTGGCACCCTTGTTTCTTGTACTCAGCACATTTCCTCCTGCCGAGTCTCTAAGCTCTATGATGGCAGAACCTGCGAGAGCAACATTTTCTATAACTTTCTCAATAACTAGCAAAGTACCAGGAATATTGTGGGTAGTCAAAGCAGGTTGAACAACAATTCAATTGAGTTGGGACAATTAAATAATCCTGTTACCATTTGAGAGTCCAAGTTTTTTTTTTTTTTTTTTAGGAGAAGTAGGGTTTTTTTTTTCCCCTTTTCTATTTTAATAAAAAGAAAAAAAGAAAAAGCTTATAACTAACATAAGAAAAACTATAAACAAAAGTACAATAACTATATACAATATAAGTTCATTTGTATTTGACAAATTCAGAGAAAATAATTCCATTATCTATTCTATTGTATCTAATTCACTTTCTATCCTAATTAATCTTTAACTATAACTAACTAATCTTCAGCTCCCTCAGAGACCCAAGAAGGAAATAATATTAGCTAACAAAAAAATAAAAACGGGAAGTATATGCAAGCAACTTCCAAAAAATTGTGAGTTGACAGAAACAGCCAGCTGCCTGGACAATCATCTGAGGTTCCTCCACAGTGTTGGGGCATCATCTTCGGCCTATAGGCTTAGCGTGTTTGACAGACTCATTTGTGAAGTAGGATGTACACAAGGTCAATAGTTCAACCTCACATTGGGTGAGAGCAGTCCATGTACCAGAAACACCTGAATTCCACTAGTGTCATGTCATGATTCAGGATTTTAAATTCTGGAAATTGTTGATGGTTTTTTAATTCAGCTGTCCATTCTTCTTGGCTGTGTATATATGGCTTCATCTCAGCATCTCGTTCTTCTCCACATCCCTCTATCAAATGCCAGTCTACTATTGAGAGGCATGAGCTTAGTTACTCTTCAAGAATAACTGTTTCAGCTGCTGTTCCATTGCACATCAGAGGCCATTGGCCCACTGCCTGTTCAGCTGCCTTCGAAGAAAAGGGCACTGTACCTTTTCCGAATTGCGAAGGCCACTTCAGGGATGGTGCCATATTGTCCTGGCCTCAGAAGATGCCTTTTGATAAAGCCATAGCCACACTTGTTTTGGCAAGAATCAGTAGTCCTTTGTTTCATGTCCTGTCTGTCCATTTTGTCAGCAGTTGATTCGAGGATACTTTGTTGTCCAGTGGCTAACTTTTGCCACAATGAAAGTTAACTCCATACGCAGTTTCTTCAATGCCCATATTTTCTCTGAAGTAGATTGGTACTGCCAGGAGCCAACATGTCTCAAAAAAGAAAAATTTTCTAAGTTATTAAAACATTTTAAATGCCATATTCTGTAGATCTCTGAAGGATTTGAAGATGACCTGTCTAAAATATATCTGCTCAATTTTGAAAACATATCTAATATGACTACAAGTTCTATTGTAATGTCTAACTACTAACCTTCATTTCTTTATATCCTAATAGTTGGTAATAATAACATTCAAGGATCAGAAAATTGCATTACATTGTTAAATGAACGGTACAATTAGAAATATACATAAAGCATTTTCTAACAATATCAATTTCAATATATATAATTTGTATACAATATAAAACAATCCAATCCAATGTAAAGTATTTAAAACTAGTAATTGTCTTTTTCTTCTTTCTTTCTCTCTCTCTTTTTTTTTATTCTATTTTTTTTAATTTATTTTAATTTATTTTGCAATACAATTCAGTTCTACATATCGGTCACGGATTCCCTTGTTCTCCCCCCTCCCGTCCCCCTCACCTTCCCCCCAACGCCCCCCCCCCCATTCCCATCTCCTCCAGGGCAAAGCCTTCCCCACAGACTGAGGTCAACCTGGTAGGAGAGTCCAAGTTTTTATGAGAAGAAATATATCCCTTTTAGGAATGGAGATATGGCTCAGTAGTAGTATGCTTACTTGGCACACTCAAGGGGCCTTCCATCCCCAACACCACCAAATAAACAAGCTTCATTTAACTGCTGTATGAGATTTAATTGCCATCGTGAAGGAGTGAGAGAATGGACACTTGATGGGACTTGATGCTCAGAGTCCTGGCTTTCGGAAAATAACTAGGATTCACTAAGATTGCTAGGGTGGGCTTCCCATGCTTTAAAAGAACAGGAAAAGACCAGAAGGGATACACAGGTATGCCTTGTGTCTCCAGTTATCTGAAGTCCTGTCACCTCAGGACTTTGCCAGGAAGAAGGCTATCACCAGGCATGGCTTCTCAGCCTTGTGCCTCCAGGACCATGAGCCAAAATCAACTTCTGTCTTTATAAAGTTCCCTAGCCTCTGGTGTTCTGCTTCACTGCTGAAAAACAAAATGGAGGTTACATTCACTTACAAGATGGAGAGAAAGGCTAAATGATATGAAAGGTCTTCATAATAATGATGGCTACCACCTCCATTGTCTTTGCAATAGGCTGATAACTGTTACAAGCACTTCCCATGTGTTATCAGTCTAGGTCAGTGGTTCTCAATCTTCCTAATGCCGAGACCCTTTAATACAGCTCCTCATGCTGTGGTGACCCCCAACTAGAAAATTATTTCATTGCTACTTCATAACTGTAATTTTGCTCTTGTTGTGAATCATAATGTAAATATCTGACATGTCGGATATCTGATATGTGACCCCCAAAGGGGTCACAACCCATAGGCTGAGAACTGTTGGTCTAGGTCCTTCACACAATAGCTGTGTTTTACAAATGAGGAAACTGAGGTGGAGGGAAATGATTTGCTTAAAGCCAGAGAGCTTGTATGCAGCAGGGGAGACAGTCCGGCCCCGGGTTCTTTTCACTAATGTGCCCAATCTCTGAAGAGAGGCACATTATCCCCTAGGGTGACTTGAATGAGAATGCTGCCCCCACCCCCATAGACTCATGTATTTGGATGCGTGGGCCCTAGTCAGTGGCACTGTTTGGGAAGGTTATGGGACTTTTAGGTACTGCAGCTTTGTTGGAGGAAGCATGTCACTGGTGCTTATCTGTGGGAGAGTGCATATCTGTGGGAGTCCAGCTCCCACCTTTTGAAGGGTTCTTGAGTAGAGGAAAGAGAGGTAAGAAAATAGCAGATAGAAAGACAGACCTAGATGATGAGAAGAAAGACAGAAACACAGGATAGCTTCGGGAGGGCCTGGGTCAACACCCAGTCACCCAGAGATTTATTCAAAAGGGCTTTTTATAATATGCCAAGGGGAGAGGCAAAAGACCTCCTCCTTGCAAGATCAAAGCACACTGTACAGCCAAGTATAGACCCTTCCAAACACCTGATAAAGAAGCCCATGGCCAAATCATCTCCTTATGCAGCCCTGCTGGGTAAAGCAAGCCCAGATTCTCTGACCCCGAGTAAGTTGGACCTCCACAGTTCCCCCTTCTTAATAATATGTGAGGTTCAGAGCTTAACTCTATGCAGCTCCGAATCAGCATTCCACTAAGCAAATAGCTGGAATAATTATAGCAATCCTTCTCCTCCTTATGGCTGCTACACCTCCCAGTAAAAGAACAGAGGATGATAAAGATGGAATGGCCTTTTTGAATGGGTCTAAGATGACGATACCAGCAGAGACTTCGGACTCCAGCAACAGGTAAAGCAAGCCCAGATTCTCTGACCCTGAGCAAATTGGGGCCCCACACATATCCTGGTCACACTTGCGTTCTCTGCTTCCTGCATATGAGTAGAAATGTGATCTCTCAGCTTCCTGCTCAAGCTACCTGCTGCCACTCAGTCCCTGCCTTATGGACTCTAGCCCTCTGGAATGGTAAGGCCAAATAATCTGTTTCTTCTATAAATTGCTTTAGTCATGGTCTTTTATCACAGCAACAAAAAATAACTACTATATCCCTGCCCTGCTTCTAAGGAAACCCACTTTCCCAGCCTCATCCTGTCCAGTGGCTGCCTGCCGGGGCTATGCTCTGAGCACTTCCCTGACCAGCCTCCACTGGATCCTTTCCTAGTCTTCACAGTTGGTTTCTTTCTACCTCAGTTCTAATCTGTATTAACAGCACTGTGGTGACTGCCAAAGTCTCCAGGAGACCCAGTGCTGTGGGCACTCCAGATGAAGGCTTGCTCTGATGGGATGTTGGCCTGGAGGTCTGGACAGCAATGAAAGGCCTCTTTGGGACAAGAACCCAGCTGTGAGAGGGACCACAGGAGAGAAGAACCGGTCTGAGATGTCAAGGACCCTGCAGGGAACAATAATACCTGGGGGGCGGAGGAGCTGTGACTTCTCTGGACCACAGGAGTGCCGGCTTGGATCTCTGTTGATGAGTTGATACTTCTGTACCCCTGGGCGTGAACCCTCATTATCTGACGTTCATTCACTGGGCTGCTCAGGAGCATTTATTGAGTATTTGCTGTATGCCTATGGCTGATGAGTGAAGTCCAGCTGATGTTGTACCCAGAGATGCCCTGGATACCTGCCCACCACATGGCTGGGGCCTCTTCCTTCCAGCAACTTCACATGCACAGACTCAGTGGACTCCAGGAATCATCTTTATTTTTTGGTAGGCCTTAAAGGGATGTGAGCACTGGTGGGTCCTCGTGGCCTAGCAAGGGCATTCTTGTCCCTGGCAGCTCTTCCAATGGCTCCAAATGATGCTGCTCCTCTTGGCCAGCCTAAGGGCAGCGGGAGCAGGTTGCTGACACCCAGAATCCTAGACAATCTTACTCAGACACCCTTTTGTCTGCACCTGCCAGCTCCTGGTGGCTCCCTCAGCATGTCCCAGTACTGGAGATGCCTGGGCCTCTCTAAATTCCCTTCTCAGGGGACCTCCGGGGGCCCCCACTTACTCCTCTTTAGCCTCTGCTTCTGTTCACTGGGTGCCTACCTCTCCCCTGTTGTTCTGGGTTTCCGTGATGCTCTGTGACTGCCCCCCACATTTATTCAGCTCTGACTTCAGCCTATGAGAAAAGCAGACAAAAGAGAACGAGCAAGTGCCCAGGGCATCAGGGAGGAAGAGTCAAGACAGAGGCCTGAAGAGCTGAGGCCCAGGTTGAGGGGCATGACCCTCTCTCACCCACAGTTCTCAGGGGTGTTCTGGGCCTCCCTGGCTGTCTGCAGCCGCTTCTCCACTTCCTGCAGCCGGGTACGCAGCAAAGTCCCTGCAGACAGTGTCTGGACATCAAGGTGGGTTCTCTGAGGCATTGTGTCCCACCACCCACCACTGCCCGAGAGCCTCACTCTCCAGCAGCAGCTGCTCTTTGCTGCATTCCATTGTGCTGATCTCCTGGGTCAGGCGATGCTGCAGGACCTGCGAGGAAGGAGGCCTGTCTCTCTGTCCCTTGTCCTGACTACACCTCCAGCCCACCCCTCTTTGCACTTTTGACAAAGTCCTTCCCTCCAGTAGGCCACTCACTCATTTTTTAACTCTGCAGTTTCTGCTGCGGCTACAGACTTACTTCACACCAATGTCCCCTCATATTTCTCAGAATCTATTTCTTACAACTCTTCAGATCCTCACTCCCCAGTTGCTATTCTTTGAATGTTCCAGAAGTCCAGCCTTTCTCAAGAATGCACACTTATCTTCTGCACTCAAGTGCTCAACATGTGTGGTCAGATGCCAACAGGTCAGAGACGGTGCCCCAGGCTTGCAGCATCTATCTGCTTTGCCTTCTTGGCTGGAGTCTGGCTATGCATTTCCCCTGCGCCTAAGAAACTTGAGGTGGAAAGGATCTTTTGGTATACTGCTGCCTCTCCCTGCCTGGAATGTCGCCTGATGCTTCTATCTGCGGCTGATGAAGGTTTTCTCAAGGTTCCCGTGGGCCACTTTGAGAAAACACAGAATCCATAAAAGCCATGACAACTGCCAGCAAAGGATGCTAGGTATGGAAGTGAGGGATGGGGCAAAGCGGCCAGCTGTGGGGTCAAAGGTGACAGGAGAGAGGAGTCAGGGTCTCTCCCAGAGCACTGAGCCTGAGCAGGGCTGGGGACCAGACCACTCACACACTAAAGCCGTGGGAGGAGTGGAAGTTGGAAAGGACATTGTCTCTTACATGGAACTCCCAGAGGTCCTTGCGCTGACTTGTCAGATCCTCCAGTTGCTCTTTAGCATTCAACCTGTGGACAGACACCCAGCCTTGAAAAGTCAGGGCCAGGACCCACTCGGCAGTCAGGTTTGGGGTGCCTCCTGCTCAGGCCTTCGGGTCCTGCCAGTGCTTCCCTTCAGGGGTCTGTAAAAGTCTCCTCTCTTCAGCACCTTTTCTTCCGGCAAGCTTCACTCGCGCCCTGCTTAGCTGCCCACCAGACTCCAGGCTTAGGAATAACTCCAGCTTCCTCAGTCTGAATCTGACAACTGGACGGTATGCTTCCTGGGCAGGGACTGGATCATCAGCAGTCAGACTCTGCCTGGGCCCTCACTCTCTCCAAGAATGCTTCTCATTCTTTTGTTACAGGTGATCCGTTATGGATCCCTACGGGGGACCACAGCCCTGTCCATCTTGTTGCCCCTGCAATCGTGCCTTCCCGTGAAAACTGTACGAGGGTGCAGTGGGTCAAACTGTTGAATTTACTCTATCACCACCCGTAATGATGGGGGAACTATCCTGTCTGGTGCTCTGCTCCACAGAAGGGAAATACGGAGTGTGTATCCAAGACTCATCACACTAGCTCTCGCCTCTCCTCCTCAAGTTGGGGCAGAGCTGGGAAGGACTCTTACCACTGAGTCTCACTTTCCCTCTCCTGGCAATGCTTCTGGAGAAGCATCAGAGCCTCTGTGGAGAAAGCAGACAAGACAGCCTGATGAAGGACCTTGGCAGAAGAAGGTCAGGCAGAGTCCAGGGGCCCCACATGACCTTGGATGTTGGTGGGCACTCCAAAGACTTGCGTGCATCCTCCACATGAGTGGAGCCAGGGGAGACTTGAGAGAAGCCCCACGGGACTCCTGTGGCTGCTCAGGAGGGTGGGCTTTGTGAAGCAGTGGGAAGAATAAAGAGGAATGGCGAATACCTTTTTTTTTGCACAGGACCTCCTCTAGGTGTCCTTTCTCTTCATTCACTGTAAAACATGGCGACACTTTCAGCCTCTGGAGGCTACACCCCTTATCCCCACTGCAATTCCATCCAATAGGCAAAATCACACAGAAGATGGGGGAGAAGTGAGGTATCTTCTTTCTACCCCTGTCACCACCTCCCACAGGGCACCCCCGATTCCTTCCCCCATACCCCCACATCCATGTTCTCTTAAGTGCCAACAGCGTCAAAGGAGTGACTATGACGAAGAAAGTTCGTGCTGGAAAGAAGAGTGAACCACTAAAGAAGGAAATACCATGTCAGGTAGAAACAGAGGCTCTGAAGAAAGAAACTAAGCAGAAGCAGAGGGAGGGAGAAGCAAGGGGGAGAAGGGGTAGGAATCCGTTTTTAGATGAAATCATCCAAAATGGTAGTGTTAGGGCTAGCTGAGCTGTGAACTGAAAGATAACATGATACAGTGAGCAATCTGAATTGTATGGGCGAAGGGGACTGCAGGCGAGGGCACAGCCTAGCCGAGGGCACAGCCTGGGCGAAGGCCCTGAGCCATGTTTGGAAGTGCCAGCAGCGCTCAAGGGACCCACTCACAGGAATCTAGTTCCCGATGCATGGCCTCCTGGAGAGCTTGAGCCTCTCCCAGCTCTTCAATGGATCTCTTCTTCGCTGGACCAAAAAAGGAAGAAGGGGCTGTGTTAGCGCAGCCCTGCTGTTTCTCTGCGGCTTGTGACATGGCTTATTCTTTTTCAGACAGCCCTGCATGGGAGGTACTCACAGTCCAGGCTCCTTCCTGCTGGTATCAACTGGCCAGTCTAGGTTCCCAAATTTACCTTGCTGCAGCTCATTAATTCGATGAATCAGGTCCTCAATCTGGGGTTCCAGGCTTCCCTCTGAAGAAAGAAGGCAGATTGAGCCAGAAAAGACAGGTGCTTGGCTGTCCCAGGCAGCTAGAGTAGGACTGCTATCTGATGCTGGGTTTCTCCTGTTAGCCACCCACAGGCTATTCTGGAGCACCCGCTTTGTGTTGGAATCTGTAACAAGTCCTTGCAGGGCTTGCCTTCTGGGTGGGTGGGGGGTGGTGGTGGCTATGACTCAATCTGGTGGCAGTACCAGTTACAACTATGACACATGGTGGGGTGTTACAGAACAGATGGGTATTAGTGCTTCTTGATATGGAAAGACCCCAAATTAAGGGAGAGAAACAGACCCCATACATGGTGGGGAGGGGTGTGGGGAGTGGGAGCTACTGCAGACAGAAGGAACAAGGATGAATCTCCTGCAGTGCGAGTGGGTCCATAGCCACAGAGAATGGGTATTCGAGCAGGAGGAGCAGAGAAAGCAGGAAGGGAGGATCTGCAGGACCACAGTGGAGGAGCCCTCCCATGAGCTCCACCCTCTTTGGGGGTGTGGAAGAACAGGCTGCTTGCCATTCCTGCCTTCCTGGTCTCTAGCTGTCATGAAGGCAGCAGGGCTTTCCAGTGAGAGGTGGCACCTTGCAAGTTCTCAATGACTTTTTAGAGAGTCACTTCTGAACTCACAGCCCATTTTACCTCTCTACAGGGAGAAGCCTTCCTTCTGCTCTAGATCAAAGATGAGTCACAGGTATTGGGATATAAAGCTGCTTTACTGGGTCTCACTGCCAGCCCCTAAAGTAGCCTGGGGTTCATAAGCTTAGCTCTGGACTTTTCAAGATGACAGACTCCCTTTCTAGGAACCTGTAGAAGAGTAACTGTCCTCCAGGGTGCTGATCGCAACTGGCAAAAATCTCTGCGGCCCAGGAACATTATTTCAGTGGAGATGGTCAGGGTAGGTCACTACACATCTCTAGTCCTGCAGTTTCTATACAAAGTTTAGTCTAGGCAGCAGCTGCAATGAACTGTGTGAGCTAGAGGGAGATGGAAAAGGGAAGGTTCCCTTTTGTCTGAAGCAAATCAGTGACTACAACAGTTGAAGCTGAGAATGGGCTGGTGGGGCAGAAAGGTCTTACTTCAAACTCAGTATTTGCTCCAGCCCTTAAATGGGTACTCAATGCAAGCTGGCTCCCAAGTTCCTTCTCAACAAAAATGCCAAGTGCAAAATACTCTGTATTGTCCTTTGTCATTTGTGGGTTTAAAAATGACAAGAAATATATACCCATGGATGCTGTTTATTTTAAAAGAATCTCTGGAAAACACTTGATCATTTCATAACTACTGCTATGGGGAAGTAGCTCAGTAGTACAATGGTCCTAGATTCAAGCTGCAGAACTAACAAATAAATAAATACTGTTGCTTGTCTGTGGGTCAGGAAAATGAATAAACAGGTATGTGGTTAGATGGATGGATGGATGGATGGATGGATGGATGGATGGATGGATGAAAAGATGAATGGGCTGATGAATGGAGTGTGTGTGTGTGTGTGTGTGTGTGTGTGTGTGTGTGTGTGTGTGTATCTATATGCCCCTGTAATGGAGGATCCATCCTCTTAAAGATTTTGAATTTTTAACTGTAGGACTTCATTTTTGGCTCAAAGAATAAAAGCAAATAGAATAAATACATGCAATAGGATGATTTTCCAGAGTTGTGAGTTAAGGGTTTTAGATTCTAACCCTGTTTTCCTGACTCAAAATCTGAGACTCAGACACAGGATACCTGACCTTTCTGCAGCTTTTTTACTGTCTCCAGCAAGTCTTCAGTCTTACTCAACGATGTGGCCTGCCCTGTAGAGATGAAAACCAGAATTACAGGACCCAGTAGGAGTAAGGATAAAGCCAGGAAAGACACAGATCCTGGTAGAAGAGCAGTGAGGATTCTGTAGACCCTCCTGGGCTACAGCCGGGCTGGGGGTCAGGTTTCCACTACAGTAGGGCACCTGGGGAACCCTCTTCTCTGTATCTAAGGATTATGGTATATATTAGATGAATCAGCTTTTCCACAAGAGGACAAAAGACCCTCCAGAACTCCCCTAGTCAAACTCAGGGTGAGAAGAGTGTATTCTTGACTCTGCGGCTGTTGAAAGTCATCATGAATTCTAATCCATGCAACAGGGAAGATAGATTACATACTGATTTTTTTTACAATTAATTATAGCCCGAATTTGTAAATTCTAATGAACTGATAGGTCTAGACATGGCTACTCATGCTGCTAATACATATTTATTTAACTCGTGTGTGTATGTTGCAGTACATGTGTAAGTACCTCTATGTGGAGCTACATTTATTTATGTGGGCAAATGTATAGGCCAGAAGTCAACTTCCCTGTCACACTCCACTGTACTTTTTGTGACATAGTTTCCCACCGTACATAGGGCTGGTCATGTCAGCTGGACTGGACAGCCAGCCTGAGTCTGAAAATCTCCAACCCTCATCCCTACTTACTCCATGCTGGGGTTACTGTGGTGATATTTTATCTGTGCTTTAATAAATAAAGCTTGCCTGGAGATCAGAGGGAAAAGAGCAGCCATTATAAGCAAACAAAGAAGTCAGGCAGTAGTAGCACACACCCTTAATCCTATCACTTAGGCAGGATCTCTGTGTGTTCAAGGCTACACTGGAAATAGAGCCAGGTGTGGTGGCACATGCCTTAATTCCAACACTCGTTAACCATGGAGATATGGAGGTCTGTACAGACAGACAGAAAGTGGCAGAGCTGTGTAGGAAGAGGAAGTAATGGAGGTGGACAGAGAGCAAATCAGATGGCAGAACAGCAAGGCATATGTGTGTGGGTAGGCAGGAAGTCGCGGCATCTGGAAGCTGCAGAGTTGGTGAGGTAAGGTTGGCTGGTGGCTTTCCCTATTTCCCTGATCTCCCTAAGGCTTTCACCCCTATATTTGACTAGGTGGTTTTTTATTTATTTATTTATTTTTTATTTAATAAGACCATTTAGAAATTCGTCTGCAGGTTACAGACTCTGACTGCTATACTTGGCAGGGGATCTAGGGATCTGAACTCAGGTCCACACTTGTGCAGCAAGCACTTTACCCACTGAACCATTTCCCAGTCCCTAATCATTTTAAGCAGAAAGAAGTGGGTGTGAGGAACCTCTTGATGTACAACCAAAACACTGTTTATGAAAGCAAAAAAGAGCCCAATGAGGTGCTTAGTCCTACCTCAACTTGATATGCCATGTTTTGTTGATATCCATGGGAGGCCTGCCCTTTTCTGAATAGAAATGGAGGAATTTGGGGGGATGGGAACTGGGGGAGAGACTGGGAGGAAAGGAAGGAGAGGAAACTGTCAGGATGTAAAACAATAAATAAAGAAAGCAAGACCCTACCAAAAAAGTGGAATTACTTTTTAGTACTAATCTAGGATACATACAAAGGACAGGTGAACATGGTAATGATGCTATTGGGAATCTACTCAATATTATGAAGACTAGGAATCAATACACACACATACACACACACAGACACACACACACACACACACACACACACACACACACACACACATACACACGCACACGTGCACATACATCATAAAAAAATTGGGGGGGAAATCTGACATTAAGAAAGACTTGTGCCTACATATCTCAGGCCTCACTTGAGGCAGGGACAGACCCCTCACCAGAGGGCAGGACCCAGGGACCTCTCTGTTCAGCCCAGGCTTGTCCTCCCTTCCCCTTAGACTATTGAAAGGCACAAGGAAGATGGTGGGAAATGCACTGTTGTCCTTGCCAGAAAAGGTAACTTGTGGCTTTGTTCTGCTCTTAAACTCTCAGCTTGGTGTCACAGTTTATCTTGTGTGGGTTTTCATTCCTGAACCTTGGTTAAACTCCTCAGGTTTAACCTCTTGGCCTCAAAAATATTGAGCAATTGGATTACCTATCTCCCTCCTTATTACCACTGTGATTGGTTATATACTCTTATTTGGAGTACTTAGTGTACCTCTCCACTCAACTTCATTCATACAATTATATGTAACTACTAAAAATCAACAATGGAAAAACTACCAGCATTAAGAGATATTCTCATTGGTAAAGTTAACAGAATGTTCTTCCTTGAAGCCAAAGAATTTAACAGCCAACTCTGTTTTGGGTGTAAAGATCCTAAGACCAAACATTTGTAAGTTTTGGGCTGAATAATTTTGAACATAATTACACTGAGTGTCCCTTTAATACCCAATAGTGAGATCTAAAAACATGAACATTGATCTCTAAGATTGAGTTCAGTTAATATTGTAAATGCTTTCAAACATGAGTTTGAATGGACAGAAGAAATAAAAAAGAGAAAGAATGACCTGTAGCCTATATCAACAAACTACAATGGACTGGACGTACTTGGCTCCTGATTCAAGCAAATACACTTTTCATGATGCATAATTCTATAGATTTTTTTTTTCAAGACAGGGTTTCTCTGTGAAGCTTTGCGCCTTTCCTGGATCTCACTCTGTAGACCAGTCTGGCCTCGAACTCACAAAGATCCACCTGCCTCTGCCTCCCAAGTGCTGGGATTAAAGGCATGTGCCACCACCGCCCAGCTTCTATAGATGTTTTAGCACAAGCTCATATTACTTTAAAATTCAAACAAACAAATAATGCTGATATGGACATAGTTGAGCATGTATCTTTGTGGTATGACTGAGCATTCCTTGGGTATATGCCCAAGAGTGATATAGCTGGGTCTTGAGGAAGACTTATTCTCAATTTTCTGAGAAACCGCCATACTGATTTCCAGAGTGGCTGTACAAGTTTGCATTCCCATCAACAGTGGAGGAGTGTTCCCCTTGCTCCACATCCTCTCCAACATAAGCTGTCTTCAGTGTTTTTGATCTTAGCCATTCTGATAAGTGTAAGATGGTATCTCAGAGTTGTTTTAATTTGCATTTCCCTGATGACTAAGGCCCTCTGGATATGGAAGATGGTTGTTTGGCTCGAGCTGTTTGGGGGGCACCCAGGCAGGGGGTTCAGGATCCGTTCGTGGTGCATGGGCAGGCTTTTGGGAGCCTGGTGCCTGTGGTGTGATGCCTTGCACAGCCTTGGTGCAGTGATGAGGGGCTTGGACCTGCCGAGGCTCAGTGTGCCGGGCTCTGCTGACTCCCCATGGGAGACCTTGATTTGGGGGATGTTGGGCTGTGTGGTGGCTTGGGAGGGAGAACTAGGGGATGGGAGGAGGGAGGAGGTGGGATCTGTGGGTGGTATGTAGAGTGAGTAGAAAATTTCTTAATAAAGAAAAATGAAAACAAGGAAAAAAAATCAAACAAACAAACAATCAGGAAGAACGCCATAACTTCTTGAAATCAATGATAAAAGCTCAAAAACTAATGACCTGCTCCTTTCCATAGAAAACTGGACAGAGAAGAAAATATAGCTCATAAACACAGACCACAGGCAGAAAATGCTTCTTCGTAATAGTAAAGAACATCCCTTAGCCTCAGACCCCAAAGTCCCCAGTCTCTCTTCTTCTTCTTCTCATTCAGTGATCCAAGCTGTGGACTGACATACAGGCAAATATCCTTTCTCCACAAACAGGACACTGTGTTGTACAGGATGTCACAGATCTCCTATTTTTCTTCTGACAAGGTGTACTGGTGATCAGTTTCTTCTTTTTGGTAGCTGTATAGATTTCCACTATACATATGCCATAATTTAAGAGCAGTTTCCTACTTTTTTCTATAGGTTGTCCCCTTCACAGCCATAAATGATGCCATGGCTATGATTTCCTTTTCTCAGCTGCTGAGGCAGAGTACTATAAAGTAGGTCTTCCCTCTGTGTAGGTCATCAAATGCCATACTGTGTATCATTGTGCCTTATATTTCCTTTGTCTTCTAAGGATATTACCACTGAATTATGGTCCATCCTAAGCCAGTACGACCTCATCTTCAGTAGTTATATCTGCAAAGATCCTATATGTTGGTTAGTTTATATTTTGTTTTGTTTTGATGTGTATAGATAAATACCTGCATGTATGTTTGTGCACTACATGTCTAGTGCTCAGAGGTCACGAGTCAGACCCCCTAACTGGAGCTATAGGAGATTGTGAGCTGCTGTGTGGGTGCTGGGAATCAAACCTGGGTCATGAGGAAAAGCAGCCAAGTGCACTTAACCATTGAGCCTTCTCTTCTGCCTGACGGTTTTAATTATTCACTTGCCACAACCTAGAATCATTGGAGAGGAAAGCCTCAATTAAAGAATTACCCAGATCAGGTTAGCCTGTGGGTATGTTGCTGGGGATCATCTTTACTGTTAATTAATGCAGGAGGGTCCAGCCAATGTGGTGCATTCTGAGTTAGGGGTCCTGAAAAAGAGAAAAAGGCTGGCTGAGAGCAGGGAGTAAGAAGGAAGCATGGCTACATCTGTTTCACTCTGCCCTTGGCTGCAAATGTGTGGTAAGACTAGCTGCTTGAGTGAGTTCCTGCCCTGACTCCCCTGTTGTGATGGACTATAACTTGGAACTGTAAGCCAAATAAATCCTTTCTCCCCTAAGTTGCTATTTATCACAGCAACAGAAGTGAAACTAGAGCATTCTGTTTCCAAATAAGGTCACTTTTTGCATTTTTTTTTTATTCTGTAACAATTTCATACATATGTATAATGTATTATATTTTGAGGCTCTGATGGACCCAAGCTAGGGAAAGGGTCACACTTTTAGTTCAATTAATTAATTTTGGGGATGTTGTACATCAAACTTGGAGACTCACACTTGTTAAGCCAGGACTCACACATGCTAGCCAAGCTACAGGGCCAGCTTGAGGGCCACACTTTTACCTAGTATCCCATCCAATATGTGCTTCTGCTTTCATTGGCCTGTGCCTGCTGGACACATCTGAATACTATTTAGAGGCTACATGCTACATCAAAGGCTGTGCCTATCATTAAATTTGACTGACAAAACCAGTGCTATATTTCAAGCTTCCTGGTAGTTTACACCACGACATTCTTATCTCCTCTAAATCTGAAACTCCATTCCTAAGAATACATCTTAAAGAGACCATTAGGGGAGGTAGACAAGATCTTCACTGCTTCACTGTTTGCAGTGTTAACACATGGAAGTAACGTGAAGGTGCCTCGGAGAGTTAATTACAGCATTCTGGTAGAATGAAGTTCTTTACAGCCATTAACAGTTACATTATCCAGTGGTTTTTCTTTTTTGTTTGTTTTTTATCTTGAGCTCATCTTGTTGGGATGTTGGGTGCTTGCTCCCCTTCTTAGCATCCTTTTGTCCCTCTGGGATCTATGATAAACTAGTATTCATTCATTTGTCTTTGCGCTTTAATTTTTTTTTAATCACTTAGACATGGACAGTGAACATGGCATTGAAAGTCTGTGGGAGGGAGAGATGGCTGAGAGGTGATAAGGGCAGAAGTACTACTCTTCCAGGGGACCCAGTTCAGTACCCAGCACCTATGTCAGGTAGCTTACAACCACCTGACTCCAGCTACAGGGACCCAGTGCCTTCCTCTGGCCTTCTCTGGCACCTGTGCTCACATGTACATAACCCCCCCCACACACACACACACATAAACATGAAAATGTAAGTAAAATCTTTTTTAAAAAGTCTCATTTCACCAACACCCCCCCTTCTCAGAATTAACCACTGCCAGCAGTGACTATATTTTCACTTTTTAGAAAAAATATTTCATGTGTTACTTATTTAAAAAAATTTTAATACTCAAATAGCACTCTAAAAATCCAAACACTACAAAATCTTTGAAGAAATGAAACTTCCCCTTCTCTTTGGCCCTGAATCTCATTACCATGATACAATCATCTCTGATAAGTTGATGTATCTCCCCCTGAGACATTTTTATTATTTAAAATAATTTTAATATTTTGCAAAGAAAGAAAAGCTCATAACAGAGAAAGGTGTTTGTCTGCTTAACATTTTATGAGAAGTTTCAAACACAGAGTGTGAGAATGCCATGATGAACCCTCATACACATAGCCCAGATGCCAGGACTGTTAACATCCACCCATATTTGCTTTTTGTGTTACTATAATCACACGCAGTATGATTAGCAATCATCATGCAGTTTCTCCAATACTCAGACCACATGTAGTGTTCTCTAACTAGCCCATGTGCTCTCCAGCTGGCCTTTGCAACTACTTCTGCAAAAGCTCCATCTGTGGTTTTCCTCTCTGTCTTTTAACTGCTAGTCGTAAGATCCCTAGTGAGTGATAAGAGCAACTTTTAAAATTTATCTTTATTTAATGTATTAATGTTTTGCCCTGTATGTGTGTCTGTTCATCACTTGTGTGCCTGATCCCTGTGGAGGTCAGATCCCCTGGAACAGGAGTTACAGGCAGCTGTGAGCCACTGTGTGGGTGCTGGGAATTGAACTCGGTCCTCTGCAAGAGCAGCCCATTCTCTTAAATGCTGAGCCATCTCTCAAGCCCCCAAGTGATAAGAAAATTTGAAAATTTTAATTTAAAGTCTTAAATCTAATATCTCCATGAACAACAAAAAACCTCCTTGTTACAAAAGAAAAGAGACTGTGGAGGATAAGTCCCCTTTTAACATTTTATTTTGAAATTATTTCAGATGTACACAAAAGTCGTAGAAATAGGCTGTGGTACTCTATCAGAGCCTCCATGTTTTGAGTGTTTTTCAACTGTAAGTTGCAGATAGTATGGCCCATTAATATTTAATATTCCAGTGCATATTTCCTATATACAGAGACTCCAAGTAACTGCACAATCGCCATTAAAATCTGGGAGTTATCATTGCTCCAATGTTAATGTATAATCCTCAGGTGCTGCTCACCTTTCCCTTTCCTTCTTATACTTTAAATTACATATTACTACCTATTTTTCTAAGTGATAAATAAAACAATGAATCACAAAAGACCTCCATTTTGCTTCCCTCCCCAATCCAAGGCCCTTAACCAGTTATCAAAGTGTGCTTACCTCGCTTTCCAAGCGGCTCTCCTTGACACCCCCTTCCTTTCTTGTTTCAATCCCAACTATTCCATAATAAAAATTAAACTTCTGCGGTCCATTTTTTTATAAATGAACAATTATATCAACTGAAAATTGTTTCTTCGCCTCTTTAAAAAATCTACAATCTTCACGGCTATCCCTAATTTGGTCACTTTTGTGATCACTTCTTGTATCTGTCATAAGTCACCACTGCCTACCCTTGGTCCATTGGTGTTTGTGTATTCAATCTTCTGTGATTACCTAGCATGGGGGCTACTGATGTGGAAGGCCATCTGCTAAAACCATAAGCCTCCACCAGAAGGCCTGGATGCCACTGGCGCTAAGAATTATCCCCCTACGCCCAATTCAATGGCTAAGAAATGTAACCTGATATGCCTTCCAACTTCCTCTAGTTGAGTCCCTCAGTGAAGTCCCTCATTACTTAAACATTGAGGCTGATGCTAAGTTTTCAAATCTCTGTGGCACTGTAGCAAATGCTTAATAAAGTGTGGTTCGTTGCTGTCTGATTTTTATTCTTTGAAAACTGGCACCCAACATGTGGCTGCAATTTAAGACAAATTCTGTTAAAACGATTTCATTATTCATCCATTTGAAAAAAGAAAAAAAAAATCACTGTGTACCAAGCACCAAGTAGGTGTTTCGGGTGCCCGGGTGCCCGGGGAAACTGCAGTTCTTGAAGGTCACACCCATTGTTTTGGAATCTGAATAGACAGGTCTGGCAAGATGCCGCCTCCCATGTTTGGTCATGTAGTGACAGACCTGGTGCTCGGGAAGGGAAGGTGGGTATAGATACAAAGACAAAGTTTGAACACCCGTTGAAGCACAGTCCGGGTCACTGGTCATGCTATTTTCTCTACTGCACAATGTTTGGGAACTTTCTATAATCAAAACAAAAAATGTTCTTCGGGTGGATTTACTGTGAAAGATATTTTCAAAGAACTGCAGTTTCCAGTATTTCTAGGCTGGACTCCAGTTCCTTGTCCCCAATGAGGGGAGAAGCTGTCACGACTTAAGTCACAACAAATTTGAAAACTGAGAAAACCATTCTCAAGGGCCTGGAAAAGAATCCCTGCAGTAATCATCTAGGCTGGCCGCGAATGACATCAGTTCTTCCTTCCCTCGGCTGTGCGGCAACAGGGATTTGTTACAGTTTTTGTGACAATGTCACTATCCCTTCCCGATTTGTTTAGTAACGGGTCCTAAAATGAACTATTTAAGTATTTAATTGGGTCAATAAAGGTGGCAAGTTAACCTAGGTGATGAGAACAGGCATGTTATTTATTTCCACTGTGTGGAAGTTAAAAAATTCAATAGGCTAAAAACATTTTTTTTCTAAAAAAATTACTCTCGATTATTTTAATGGGCCAAAGCCTCTCTCCCTTCTACCCTGTGGGCCCCCACTACCTCCGGCATCCTCAGCCTCCTCAGGTCCCAGCCACTCCGCCATCAAAGGCTCCAGCTCCGCAGCCATTTCCCAATGTGGGGCATCTGCGCATGTGCCATAGAAAAGTGGAAAACAGGGAAAAGCAGCACGTGCCACTACAACCATTGCAGGAAACCAGGGGGTGGGGCAACACAGGTATCTGCTCTGAGCAAGCGCAGGACATCTGCAACGCAACTGATAGTTAGCACGCATGCGCACAACCACAGAGCCATATTGCTAAAAAAGGCTGGAAGCAGGGTAGTGGGCTGTTGAGGAGGGTTGTGCGTACAAACTCTTCAAAGGTTCTTCTCCTTTAGGTTGCTGCTGCCAGCGGCCAACGTCCAGAACAAATGGCAATAGAGTTCCAAGCCCTGTCTCCTTCACAGTTCACAGGTCTCCACTAAAAGGGCCTAAAGAAAGCTCTCTCTCAAGTAGAAGCCTTAGAGGATAGGAGCGTCTTCACAAAGCTGCATCCCGGCCGGCCGCTGGGTGAAGTCATGTGGCATGTGTTACACAGGTAGACACTGGAGGCAACCTTCTTATTAATGTAAGAAACGGCCCGAATTGGTGGGGCTTGTTTGTTTTTTTAAAGTAGGGAAAAATGGTGGAGGAAAAAAAGGACACCAAGGACAGAAGAACGTCGTGTGGGATTCAACTTTAGGCCCTTTCTGTAGTTTTCTTCAAACATCCTTAGGCTGGTTTCAAGCATAGGCTAGCCCTGCGTTCCAAATTCTAGAGCCCTTGTGGGTTACCCGCCCCTACCCTGAGGGGAGCCTTGGCCCAGTCTTAGGTCTGCTTGGAAGATGCACATTGCAGCAACCTGTGCTGCCAATGACAGAGGGTACAGTGGCATTCAGGTTAGTCACGGAGGTGAGGCAGAGGAGGCTTTCGACTTTCTTAAGTGTGGAGGTGCCTGAGGGGGCTCAGAGCACAACCTGTGCCCCTTCTCCCATTTGTGGGCAAACCCTGAGATCTTGCCCACCTGCCCGGGGAAACGGGGACCAGCCCCACACAGACTTCTACCCACATTTCCAGAGTAGAGACAGAATTTGAAAGCCAAATGTGGTCACTCCAGCAGTCATTCAGAGTCCAGAGAACAAGCCATTGTTGGGGGCCTGCTCTACCGAGGAGGAGGGGGGTGTGGAGTACTTGGGTGGGTAACGGATGAAAAGCCGATCCTCTTCCTTCCTCACCCAGCGCAGGAGCTTTGTCACTACTAAGATGGCACCTGCCTTGGTCACCAGGGGGCTGAGGCAAGTATAAAGCTCAAATTTGGAGGTCACCTGTGGAGATGGAGGGGAGATAGTCAGATGGGCTAGAGCTGGCCATGAGCAATCCTGTGCTCCCCAACCCAACCTTGTGCGCTTCTGAAGCTTGGAGACATGCTTAGCAGCAACTGGATGTGCCTTGCTAGGCTAAGGCAGGCAATCTGGGATTACCCTGTCAAGGGCAGACAAGAAGCAGCTGGACCAGTGGCTTCACCTGGGTCATTCTGACTGTGCGTGTCTCTGTGTGTGTGTGTGTGTGTGCGTATCTGTGGACTAGAGATAATGGTCACACCAACACTCAATATTCAGTGAGCAGTCATTACATACAAGGCTGTTCTCTGCTCCTGGCCCTGTGCGTTCATCATCTATAGCCTTGTACAACATGTTCCTCGCACCAACCCAACACCTAGCCCAGAGGTCTCTGCTGTCTTTTCTATGCCACTTCCCACTGTTCTCTCTGTGTTCTCTTTCTGTCCCAGCCACTCTGGTCTTTCTTTGCTGGTCCTCAGACACAGCTAGCCTCAGCCTTGCCTCAGATCTGCAGTACTTTCTTATGCACAGGCAGTTCCTCCCCCAGGCACCCAGGCAGCTCACTACCTTCTCTCCACTGGGAAGCCACCTTTTCAGCACACCGTCTCCCAAACACCTGATTAACAACCCTGGACCTACTGAATCTTGGTTTTAAAATGTCAACTCTTTAGAAGAAGATAGTAAGGCTCCTTGGCAAAATGGCTGAGTCTAGGAAGGATGTAGAAAGTAAAGTAAGCAAGCTGTGCTCATATGTGATAGAAACTTGCTAATGGGAAACGGGGCTCAGGCTGCCTAAATCAGGGGGTCCACTGGCTAAGTCAGAAATAACTGCAGTAAATGCTAGAAAACATTTTAGACTACTGAATTCAAGAGCTATCGCATGAGGTCAGATTTCTCTAAAATAGAAGATTTGGGGCCAGTGAGATGGCTCAGTGGATGAAGGCACTCACCACTAAGCCTGGCACCCTGGTAAAAGGAGAGTACGGATTCCCACAAGCTGTCCACTGGCCTCTACACTGACCACATGTGCGCACACACATGTGCTAACTACATAAATGTGATTTTTAATTAAAAAATCCAATAAGAAGTGTGTTCTTACATCAAGTCCCAACTAAAATGTAGAAAGTAGGGCAGTTAGAAAACCACCAGCAGGCAAACACCTAGTAACTGCTGCAAGTTCAAATCACGGAGGCCTATGAAAACGAGAGGGGAGTATAAGTCTAGACCCACAAATACACAGGCCACAGGGGCCACAGGGGCTTGCGAACTACAAAGGGCAAACACTTACTTTCTAGCAGAAGTGTGACAGAGTCCACCCTAACTCAGTGAGCCAAGCTTGCATCACATGCCCTTGAGACAGCGCAGAAACTGGCTCACGCCACCTGCTGCATGACCCGATCTGATCATGGTCCAGCAGCGAAAGACCCAAGTCAAGGGGCACTCTACGAGCAAGCCTGCCGATGTCCTTTGACAGTGCCAAGGCCACAAGGCCACAAAGCCTAGGGAACCTTTCCAGAACAAATGAGACCAGGGAACATAAAAACAGATCCACCATGTGATCCTGGACTGGGTTCTGAACCAGGAAGTTGACATGAATGGACAACTGGCAGAATGCTAATGAAGTCCGTGGACTCCATGGCAGAGCAGTGTTAACTTCCTGCTTTGGCAAGCTACTACAGTTTTGTGAAAGTTTACCTTTGGCGAAAGTGAGTGGAAGGCCTTTTTTATGGTAATTCTTTATACTAGCTTTGCCACATCCAACTCCAAAATTACTTGAAAATTAAAAAAAAAAAAGCTTTAGTAATGTTTCTTTTACAAATGTGGGTGCCCTTGTATTTGGGGCATAAATGTTCAGAATTGAGACTTCATCTTAATAGATTTTTCTTGTGATGAATATAAAATGTCCTTCTTCATCTCTTTTGATTAATTTTTCTTTGAAGTCTATTTTGTTAGCTATTAGGATAGCTACACCAGCTTGCTTCTTTGGTCCATTTGATTGGACCAACCCTTTATTCTGAGGTAGTGCCTGTCTTTAAAGTTAAGATGTGTTTCTTGTATACAGCATAAGGGATGGATCCTGTTTTCATATCCATTTTGTTAGCCTGTCTTCTTATTGGGGAATTGAGTCTATTGATATTAAAAGATGTAAATGACCAGTGATTGTTAATTCCTGTTATTTTTTTGTTTTGGTAGTGGTGGTGGTAGTGTGTGTGTTTCCCTTCTTTGGGTTTTGCTGGTGTGAGATTATCTATTGCCTCTGTTTTTGTGGGTACAGCTAACTTGAGGGAGCAAGTTGGGCGAGCTGGGTGTGGAGGCGAGATAGGGTGAGAGTAATGAAAGAGACTTGATTTCAGTCTCTTTCTCTTAGGGAGAAACCTGGTGCTAAGGAAACTCCCAGGAATCCACAAGGATAACCCCAGCTAAGACTCCTAACAATAGTGGAAAAGGTGTCTGAACTGACCATCTACTCTAATCAGATTGGTGACTGCCCTAATTGTCACCAGAGATACTCTATCCAGTAACTGATGGAAGCAGATGCAGAGATCCACAGCCAAGCACTGGGCTGAGCTCTGGGAGTCCTTCTGAGAAAAGGGAGGAGGGGTTGTATGAGCCAGGGGGGTCTTGATGGGGGAATCCACAGAGACAGCTGATCTGAGCTTGTGGGAGCTCACAGACTCTGAACCAACAGTTAGGGAGCCTGCATGTGACTGACCTAGGCTACCCTCTTCATGTGTGTGACGGTTGTGTAGCTTGGTTTCTTTGTAAGGCTCCTAGCAGTGAGATCAGGACCTGTCCCTGGCACTTGGCTGGCTTTTGGGAACCTGTTCCCCATGCTGGATTACCTTGCCCAGCCTTGACATAAGGGGAGGAACTGGGTCCTGCCTCAACTTGATGTGCCATGCTTTGTTCAAGCCCGTGGGAGGCCTGCCCCTTTATGAATGGAGATGGAGGAGGGGAAAAGGAAGGGAAGAAGGGTAGATGGGAAGTGAAGGAGAGGACTGGGAGGAAAGGAGGGAGGGGAAACTGTGGTCGATATGTAAAATAAATGAAAAAAATGTTATTTTAAAAAAAACCCTAGCCGGGCGGTGGTGGCGCACGCCTTTAATCCCAGCACTCGGGAGGCAGAGGCAGGCGGATCTCTGTGAGTTCGAGGCCAGCCTGGTCTACAGCGCGAGATCCAGGAAAGGCGCAAAGCTACACAGAGAAACCCTGTCTCGAAAAACAAAAAAAAAAAAAAAAAAAAAAAAAAAAAAAAAACCCTAGCCTAGAACAATGCTGGATCCATATTAATATGCACTGTTATTTAAAGAACGTGGTGGGGAAGGTTTTACTTCCTCTGGGACTGCCTGCCTGGCCACCAGCCTCTCTCAGTAGCTGAACTTTAACAGTCCCAGGTAGAGGGCATGGAGTGGTCCTGAACATGCAGTGGTCAAGGAGAGCGGGGACTCTAGACTGGGAGACAGGGAACTGGGGAGCACAGTGATGGTTGCAGATGGGATCCTTGAAAGTCCAAGACCCTGTCTTGATTGCTCATGGGGGAAAGCAAAGGAATGGCAGGGCTAAGTTAGGGTTGTAGACAATGAGGAATCCTTCTGTAGTTTAAGACACATGTGCCCACAGGGTCAGTGGTGCAGATAAAAGGCAGAGCCTGGCAAGTTCCAGTGGGCCTATGGGGGGAGCTAAAGCCAAAGGTTCATCACAGGGAAAAAAGGCTTGTAGTAGAGAACTACTACTGACAGCCTGACCAACTCACCCAGGCCAGCAGTGTTTCCTTCTCAGCCACATGGTAAATGAGGCGCAGGGGCCGGGAGGTGCTATGCAGGCGAGCATGCAGGCGGTGATACAAGTCGGACAGTCGCTGTCGCTCCTCCTCTCTGCTGTATGGGGCCTCTAGCTCAGGACTGCAAGAGGGAGGCAGGGGCACTGTGAGTAAAGGGCCTGCCTCCCCTCGCAGTCTAGGATTATAATTAGGTTATGGGGCTCAGCCTCCCACATCAGACTTGAGGGTTTCCAGTGTTGTAAGTCAAGGTGCCCCCATTAAACTAGGAAGGAGCCTTTTCCCACTAGAACAGAGAAGTGTCTCTTCCCCCTTTCTAGAGCATGGCTGCCTATCTCTTTTAACTCATGTGTACAAGATGCTGACAGTCTTGGTTAGACATGTCTTCAATCACCTGTAGGGTCAGGGCTCACCTGGTAAACTGTGGCAGCTGGCGGTGTTGGTCAGGGATGTCCAGTGGCTTGTAGAGGAAATGCCGGAGGCCAGGTGCTCCCACAGCCTGCACACTGTAGGCAGGGGCATTGGCTGCTGGCCCGTTAGAGAAGTTGGCAGCCTCCCCAAGGGTACGCAGGGCACCAAGGTTGTGCATCCCATCTTCAACCAAGCGCCGGCAGGCAGCCATGGCATGGAAAGCTTCACGGTTGGTACCAAGCAACAGCAGGCAGACAGGCATGGAATCCAGACGGGCCACATAGGCATAGAAGAAACCATCTGGGTTGAAGCGAGGCAGGCACACAGGTGCCCATGCCTCACCTGCTGCAAAGGCTGGTGCACCCACCCAGTCAAGCAGTAACTGCAGATCAGCTGGGTCCAGTCGGCACTCAGCCAGCACATTCCTCTCCTGGGCTGCTGTTATCAGTCGGCCGCCAACAGCCAGTACTGACAGGGCCAGGCCTGGGGCTGTACAGCGCCGCAGTAGTGTACCCAGGGCATCCCGCAGTGGACGGGCCAGAGGCACACAACGCACAGCACCCAGGAGCAGGGCACCAGGGTCTTGCTCCACACTGTCCAGGAGCCGGTCCAGTGTGCGCTCTGAGCCAGCCAGCAGACGACGTAGATCATAGTTCTGCTTATGTGCAAAGATGCGGGCCACGCTTGCACGAGTCAGTGTGCTTACAATTTGTGCATGCACTGCAAGCAGCTCACCCCGTAGCTGTGCTGCTGACTGTGGAGTTCGGGACACAGCCACCAGCAGGAGTGGGCCTTGCTGCAGGAACACCAGCTTGTGGTCCTCTAGGGGAAGGAAAAGTGGGCAGGGGCAGAGGCAGACCAAGAATGAGCCAAGGAATCAGACAGGACACCTTTCCCAAACACTCTCCAACAGATACAGCACCTGGCCCAAGTCTGCGCTCTTCCTCTGCCAGCACCAAAATTAGGGCAAGGACAAGCTAGGGGTATTGGGACATTTGTAAAGATGGGGCTGTGGAGGAATCAGGTAATCTAGACAGACAGCATGGAGTCAGGGTGGTGGGAAAGGTGAGACGGCCAAGGACTGAAACAAAGGTCACAGAGCACACGTCCTCACTCCCAGACAGCCAGGTGGTATACTGCCAACCACTTGGATGGAACAAAGAGAGGGACCTACATACAGTTACTCTCACTGACTCACTTCTGGTGGCTAGACAGAGACCCATGTAGGCAGGCAGACAGGCAGATCTACCCATGGCCAGTTACACAGACCTCTAACCCCCAGCCATATTCCCAGCCACTAGCCACCAGTCCCCATTATGCCCTCCTTTCTCTTCACTCACCAGCATAGATGGCTCGGATGGCATCTCCTGCACTCTGTACGAAGGACACAAGGGCTGTCATCACACCCATGGTGGCAGACAGTGCCTCCACACTACCATACCGTGAGTAGATGGGCTTGCCTGCCTCACTCAGCACAAACACGTGCTTCCTTTGGCTGCGCCAGTCCTCGTCACTGGGGTCACCATCATTGGGGTCCCCATCACTGGGGTCTTCTGCCTGGCCCTCAGAGCTACCCTCAGGTTCTCCAGTGGGACTGCCATCTGAAGCTGTAGTTTTCCAGTGCTCACAAGTGCTTGATGGGGCCTCAGCCTGAGGCAAAGGTGACAGGAGGCTGGGTGGCTGGTCCTTGGCCTTGGATCCTGCAAGGGAGCCCTGAGTGGCTCATCTCCTTCTAACCCCATGTTTCAACAATCTATCAAAGCCTTACCAGTCCCATGAACTGCAATGACCCAGGCATGCTGACAAAGGTCTCCATATGTCTTCCCAGCTATTCAGTGAACAATGGATGATGATGGCCAAAACCTTCCTACCTATGTCCACTAACACTAAGGTTTCAATGAGCCCCACCCTAAAACACAAATAATCCAACATGTTTTCACTGCTGTTCGCTGGCCCCTCCATTATTTCCTTTCAACACTGCCATTCCTAGGTCTTCAAAGCACCCCACTCTCCAAATAACTATTAATCTGCTTATCTGCTGGGCTCTTTATTAACTTCTCTGACCCCTTATTTATCCTATTCTGATGTGTAGGTACCCCTCAATGGCCACCATTAAAATACACCCACTGACTCTAATCCTTTCATCCACAGATGCCCACGGACTCTCTTGGTTAACCATACTCTCAGCAATGGTCCTTATTTCTCCCATTATTGTGGCCATTAACAGCCACTGGCATCCAGATCACCAGGACTCCCCTAACCTTCAACCACTCCCCCTATTTACTTATCCTGCTACATTAACACCCCAACAAGTATATATTAATATCACCAACACTTTAGTCTTCAATAACCTTACATGACAGCTCTATGCTCTTCCACTCCACCAATGGCCACCATTAACCATCACTAACACGCAAGGCTTTCATGCCTTCCACTTGCTCTTCCTCCAAGATTATCATTTTGAATCCATAATGAACCCCCTTGCTTCCTTCAACACACAGACTAATTCTCGCTGGCACTGCTGTCTACTGACTCTCACGCAATGACAATCATCGACATGCAACCTCATCTAATTTTCTCACACCCAATGTTTTCAAAGTTTCTTAATGTGTACTGATAATTCCATGTTCCCAAACACCCAAGTAACTTGTCTCAATTCCCATTACCTGTAAAGATGACCCTTTTTGAGCCCAACCACGCCCTTCTTGATTCTTCAAGAATCTAAGCTCAGGTCAAGTACATTCTGATTTCCCTACAACAGAAGGGTGTCCCGGGATGTGGGAACGCCAATGTTAAAATGAGACTTTCCGGACAAATTAGCACAGTCCATCTTCGTACCCTTGACCCCTCATGGCAAGAAACATCTTGCCCCTCCCGGACAAAAGCTGACACCCCCTGGCTTCTTTATCATTTCTCAATGATTTCAATTAAATCAGCAAGTCTGTGACCAACGACTGACCGAGTTACGCCTCAGGCTACTTTCTTGGGGCCCCAAAGACTGCCCACTGGTCTCCCGTTACCTTTCCCCTTCAGCTAGCAATGACAACCCCCAGGGACTGGTTCCAAGGCTCCGTTGAGGGGAGCTATACCTGTGTCCTCCGGGTCCCCATCTCCGGGATCCGGCGTGCTCGAGTGAACCCTTTCACTGTCTCCAGCCTCCTCAATGGGGAACTGCGTGTCCACCAAGTCCTCCACGCCCCCGGGGGCTGGGACAGCACTATCTCCTCCGGCCTCCATTTGCACATCCCTGGGGAGAAGGGGAATCGAGGGTGATGGGCAGCAAGAGAAAACTTCTTAAAAGCCGTTAGGGAGCCAGGCCCCCTAGATACATTCCTAGTGCTGTGGATTCCCCTAGAGTTTTCGACAGGACGCAACATTCAAAAACATGATCAAATACTTGCACCCTCCGGCACTTTCGGAAGGGTGACGCTCCGGTGAGTCTCCGCGAACAATGACACATTAACACCTGTTTCAAGCCCGCATCTCAACTGGGTGGACAGCAACACTTCCAGGAGCCGCGGCGGCACCACACTTCCTGGTGTGGTGGGGAGATGCCACACTTCCGGAAGCGACGCCTCCCGGGACACTTCCGGTTTCACAGCGGTATTCACTCTCCGGTAGCGCCGGTGGCCGCCTTACGCTGCGTTCCCTCCCCGTAGAGATGGCGCGGGACTCTCACGAAACTCTATGGAATCTTCTCTGAGCGACTCCCTCCCTGATGCAGCCAGCGTCAGCTGAGAACTGGGACGCGGGCGGCTCACTTCTTGTACCCAGGACTACCGGCTGAAGAGGGCGCAGCTTGCACGCTGGGCCAAGAGGGAGGGGCCTGGTTCCTTTCACCCAATCAAGCGTAGTCTTTCCCTTATGCCCCTCCCCATTCTGGTAGCTCCTCTGCAAATACTGGGCGCTAATTGGCAAACGCCATCCCTTGACTGACATCTCACTGTCTCTAACCGAAACCTTGAGCCTGTTCCTGTCTTGACTGGAGCGAGATCATGCCGAACCAATGAACTCGCTCCCTCAGAACTGGGACAACTTCAGTCTCCTTTATTCAACAAGAGAGGCAGGGGCGGTCGTGGGGAGGAGCGTATGCTTGACGGACAGTCTCTCCTTCCAATCGGAACGTCGCGCGCAGTCCAGCCAGCCTATGGAACTCGGATGCTGAGGCAAGAGGCGGGTCTCTGCTTGTGGGTCTGACTCTTGAGAGTCTGGACCGCGCCAGCCTGTGTGGGAAGCGGCGCTGCGGAAGCCAAGCCAAGCTGCTTAGGGCTGGTATGTGCAGGCAACACGAGCCCTCCCCACTGGCAAGGAGAGATTCTGTGAACCGAGCCAACTAGACCATCAGCCTAAGCCTGGGGCGGGGTCGGAGGGGTGGGGCTTTCAGGGACTACTGCGTTCTGGTTGGCTGAGGATTCGGCCGCGCTGACCGCGTCCGCGCATCACCATTGGCTGGATGATGAGGGGAAAGCTACAGTAGTAAGGAATCTTGTGTATCTAAGCCCCTAGAAGCACTTCCTAAAGACTGCACCGATGCGGGTGTCCAAGCGACCAGAAGAAGGCGCTGCAAGATGACAGTTTTGTTGGTTTTGTTTTTAGTCAGGAACTCCTTACATAGACCAGGCTGGCCTTAAACTCGCGCTCCTCCTCCCTCAGCTTCTATCTGCCTCTTAAACTTAAGTCAGGGCAGATTACAGTTGTGCTCCAGCACCCCAGCAAAGGCATCAGGTTTAGAATGAGGGTGTGGATATACCTGCTCTGGACTCCAGGTCCTTTTTCTCTGGGTCTTTCTGTACATTGGTCTTTAAGACCGCTTGGGCCTCTCAGTTTGTGTCTCTGGGTGTTACTATATTACTCTCAGAGCAAATGGAATTCAAAATAATACCATAATGATATAAAGGTCGAAGATTTCTGGTTTTGAGACAGTGTTTCATGTATCCCAGACTGGCTTTGAACTCAACTACGTGGCCAGGATTATTCTGCTTCCTGTCTCTGCTTCCCTAGTATTTGAAATTACAGGAGTGCCCATGACACCAGGTTTGCGTGGTGCTGGAGTTTGAACCGAAGGCTTCATGTATGCTGGGCGAACACTCTACCATCTGAGGTACATCCCCAGCTCCAAGATCAAGGAGATGTCTTCAACCAGAAGACATAACATCTCTAAATAGTTAGACACTTACAGACAAAACTTCAAAGTACACTACTACCAAGCCAACAAAAGTCAAAGGAGAAATAGCTCATAAGGATAGGTGTTGATTCCGTGCTTAGTAAAAAGTGGTCAGAACTGGTAGGCAAAAAAAAGTAGATAGATAAATAAATATAAATAAACAAGGATACAGAAGATGTGACCAACAGTAGCCAAATTTAGTTAATTGATGTTTATGAAAAATATTACAGCAGAGTAGAGCACATGTCAGACTATAAGAATGTTAATACATCTTTAGAAACTAAATCCTTCAGAAAAAAATTATTTGATTATGACAGAAATTGTATAAAGTGTTAACAGAGATTGGAGAATTCTTTCAGCATTAAAAATTAGGTCAATATTCATCATATGAACATTTGAACCAGATATTAAATCCATGGGATATTAAGGAGTATCTTCAGCTTTAATGAAAGCAGAAACAATGGAAAAATGCAGATAATGCAAATCATTAGTGCTCACAGGAAATATATAACTTTGTATGCTGACATAGATATGAATAAAGATTCCCATAACCAGTGATCTACATGTGAACCTTAAGAAGATAGAAAATGAAGAGGAAGCTAAGCCTGAGTAGAAATAAGAAAATAATAATAATTGAATTGAGTAAGATAGAAAACATAAAGTCAAAAGAGAAAATATAGAAATATTTCTTTTTTTGAAAAGTTCAGTATAGTTACTAAAATGTGTGTTTGAATGATAAAACCAAGGATCAATAGAATTGAAAGTTAACATTCTTAGAGATCTCAGACACTAGCTAGCGTGACTCAGGCTTGGCTGGGAAGGACAAGTGACTGAACTAGAGACCAACAGATACTCAGACTTTCACACCTTGTCCCAGGCTTGTACCTCATTGGAGACTTTGATTTTTTTCCTACGTCAGAGTTCTTTATCTGTGGGTTCTCAATCTGTTGGTTATGACCCTTTTGGGGGTCAAATGACCCTTTCACAAGGGTTGTCTAACATCATCCTGCATCTTATTTGTTTACAATTCGTAACAGTAGCAAAATAACAGTTACAAAGTCGCATGAAATAATTTTATGATTGGGGGTCACCACAACATGAAGAACTGTATTAAAGGGTGATAGCATTAGGAATATTGAGAACCTCTGCCTTACATTGTGCAAGTTGGTAAGATGCCTAGGAACCAGTGAGATTAAGGAGAGGGTAGAGGAGTAGATATAACTTTACTTGCCTTCAACATAGTTGTCTTTTGCAAGAATGGCCAGTAGATGGCAGAAAATCCACGTAATGGATCTCTCAATTTACTCAAGGCCCAGTGAACACCAGGAAAACACCAGGAACTGTCATGGGCTTAGGTCCTCCTCACCTCCATGACAAGTACTCAATTTGAAACTGTCTCAAGACTCTTGTTTCCCTTACACTTCTCTTCATTAAGACTCATTAGGAGGACCCAGTCTACTCTGAAAACTCCTATTCAAAAGGGTTGAATATGCTACTTTGCTGTGGGATGGTCTGTATGTCAAATGTGTTGCTGATTGGTCAATGAATAAATCACTGATTGGTCAGTGGCCAGGCAGGAAGTATAGGCGGGACTAACAGAGAGGAGAATTGAGAGAACAGGAAGCTCGGTGAAGGAGACACTGCCAGCCGCCATCAGGACAAGGAAGATGTAAAGTACTGGTAAGCCACAAGCCACGTGGCAAGGTATAGATTAATAGAAATGGATTAATTTAAGCTGTAAGAACAGTTAGCAAAAAGCCTGCCATGGCCATACAGTTTGTAACCAATATAAGTCTCTGTGTTTACTTGGTCGGGTCTGAGTGGCTGTGGGACTGGCGGGTGTCAGAGATTTGTCCTGACTGTGGGCCAGGCAGGAAAACTCAAGCTACACTACTTCACACTTGTTACTAGAATGTTCTGAATTATAGCAGAGATTGACAGCCCAAAGTGGTGAACCTCAAATGGCTAGAGAGATGTATGGGATAACTTTGCACAAGAGAAAGTTCACCTGTCTGAAATAAGACACTATTATAGTTCAGAAGTAATAAGAGCTGGTATTTGTTCAGAACTATGTAGTAGGCAAAATTGATAAACATTGAGAAGGAAAATGTGGCAACTAAAGATATAGCTTGGTGGTTAAAAGCACTTACAGAGGATCCATGTTTAAGTCTTAACACCCGTGTCAGGCAATTCCAGGTCCAGGGCATCTGACATCCTCTTCTGGCCTCTGCTGCTACCCACATTTATGTGGCATTACATAGACAGGTAAATTAAAATAATAAAAATCAGAAGAAAAAGAAGGAGGAGGAGGAGGATTGCTTATTGCCCTAGCATGCTTCTCTGTTGCTGTGCTAGAACACTGACCAAAAACAACATTGGCAGGGGGAAGGGTGTGTTTGGATTACAGGTTGTGCTCATCATCCAGGGAAGTCAAGATAGAAACTTGAAGTAGAAACCACTGGGGAACATTGTTTACTGGCTTACTCAGTAAACATGGCTGGCTCAGCCTGCTTTCTTATACAACCAGGACCACCTGCCCAGGGGTGGCACCACCATGATGGCCTGGACCTTACCACATAAATCACTGATTAAGAAAATGTCCCACAGACTTGCTCCCAGGCCAACTTGATGGAGGCAATTATTCAGTTAAGGTTCCCACTTGCTAGGTGACTCCAATTTGTTTCAAGTAAACTAACCAGCACACTGACCCTCATTTAAATATCACACAATGTATATGCACAGTTTTATATAATTTAAAAATTAAATATATAGTGAACCCTTTCCCACAATAATGAGCCTACTCCATGTATAATGGCATTAATCCATTTTAGATGGTGGATCCTCAATGCCTACCCTCTAAATACTGTCACAATGGCACTTAAATTCAACATGAGTTTTTAAAGGGACAAATCTACAAAGTGTTTTGCAACAGTCACATGACATGACATTTTATATAGTTTTAACTGGGAAGCATGCTGGTACTCAGAGATCAAATACTTGCCCAAGATCACAGAGTTGGAAAATTATACATGACTATTTTCATTTGTTTATAGTATATGGAATTAGCTTGATGTTAGTAACATTGAGGCCTTATGAATTCAGATGAATAGTATTTGCTGTCTTGACCGAATGAAGCATGTGCTAAGATCTTATTAACTATACTACTTCGAAGTGTGGATGTAATTGGTCTGCCCTGAGTCAGGATGACCCTTAGTTAATTTGTTAGGAAATCATCTGGCAATAGCTATGCTGATGTGGACAGAATATTTGAACCCAGTCTCCCCTGCTGGCTTCAGGTTACATGACTCTCTTTAGTGCAAATAGATGGAGTAGTTACATCACACAAGCCACCTGCTGCACAGGACCAACTCATTGTTCTTTGTCTCTTTCTAAAGCAAGACATGGCTCCAGTTCTTCCCACCTGCTGTATATCTCTGGTGGCATAGCTCAGTGTTTAAGAACTTCATGCTATAGATGAACATCTTCAGGACCAGCTTTGTTCTCATTACAGTACACTAAGAGCTTCTGCACCTAGGAAAGAGTATCTCACTGTTCCCTTTCCTAAAACTTAATACAATGGTTAGGGTTCTTGGCTAAAAGTAAGAGAAGCCAATCCCAGGCAGCTCCTTGAAAGTCTGTTCAAGTATACCTGCATCGCTCCTAACAAAGATGGTTGGAG